ATGGACGTGACCATTTTGAAATCAGAACAGCTTGTGATGATCTGCAAGAGACCTTCATGAGATCAGCTAATATTCTTTCATAGAAGGACAAGGGGTATGGTCCTAGGACCTGACCTGAGGGTACAGCCAGTCCCTCCCTCTTGCATTGCCTCCTCCAAGCTAAAGGCAATACTGCCCAACTGCATGTGGTTTCAGGAGATGCTACAGGAAGAAGGTTAACTGAAGGGGGGACTCCATCTTGCAGTTTTCAGTATGTTGTCACCCATGTTGGTTTGGGACTTCTCTGTGATGCAACTTTTTGGGGTCAACCATACCTGGTAAGCAACCCTCTCCCATGCTTCTGTAAGCAAGTCCAATAAGCTCTTTGGTTCACTAAGCTAGACTTGGGTAAAATGGCTCTTATGATCTGTCATTGGTGTTCTATCTAGGGGAAGGGACACTTGTTCTCATCTCTCCAGGAAAAAGTTACACAACAGACACCTAGAAAACTAGACCCTCAGTAAATGCAGAACAAATGACTGAATACAGAATGACCAATTATTACACAACGCCGGGGCTTACTGCTTGGATTCTGTAGCAAACATACAGTGAGGGGTCAAGAGGGCACAGAGGGAGTGCTGTTTTAATCACAGTGACATGGTGGCCATTCTCAATACCTGGGGAGGAGAGACCTTGACACTGAACTGCGACAGCTGGAGAGGGAGTTCTGAAAGACGGGTCTGCAGCTGCCAGGAGCCATACCCCAGAAGAAGTCCTCCTCTGCCCCATGGAAACTTGGGTTAGAACTTCAATCTCCATGCTACATTAACAATCCATAGTAGGGAAAATTGGGGTCTTCTTCAGGTAACTATCTGTGGGAGAGACCTGTTCCTCAAACAGTTAGGAAGCATGTGGTGTTTCTTTTGCCCCATTTACTTACAACATTAAATTAAAAATCGCTTCTCATGAGGAATTTCTTTTTATCACTCCATACCAAAGGAAAAAAGCACACAAGAATGTAGAAAACCTGTTAAAACCAGCTTGGGGGGAGGGGAATGACACTATTCTGATAAGATCTAGCACCATTGCCCAAAGGCAATAAATAAATAAATAGATAAATAAATAAATCATACATACATATATACATACATACGTACACATACATACCAGGAGGGCAGAACCCTTTCCCATCACTACTGCAGCAAGTTAGAAAGGAAACTCACCTCTGAGTTCAAAAGTGTGATTTCCATCCTAAAGCAGAACTCCCACCAGGAATCTCCATGTTACTTGGGAAATTATTTTCAACGTGAGCAATTCAATACAGGTGAAATGGGGACTGAGCTAATCTAGCAATTAACACAGCTGCTCAGGGGTTCGGTCTAGATGCATTTTCTAAGAAATCGCTTGCATTTGGACCATAAGCTCTGCTCATTATGGCTTATTGTTCATATTTGCATTCTCATTAAAGCCACACTATTCCCACATCCTATTTAACCCCTCCATGGGAGTTCTCTTCCCTCTTCTTTTCAAATACACACAGCCTATAGTCTCCTTCTCCTTCAGGGGTTCTTTTCTTTCCCAGGCTCCTCCACATCCTGAGCCCTTCCCCTAGTGTGCTATTTAGGGACCACATAATTTGGCGCTTAATGACACTTGGCCTTGGCTGGCTCTCTAATCCCTTCACGTGGTAGTGTTTTCTCCACTAGCTTTAAGTCCTGTGTTTGGATCTTCAAGAACCTCACGGAGTGCTGAATGCAAGTTTGGAAAATATTTATAGGTTTATTATTGGTTGCAAAGGAGACTCTACTCAATAAGGGAGACTAGGGAGGCTCAGAGCCTAGAGGTTGAAAGGCAGAGCTGGGATCCAGCCAACTCTCCCACCTTCTTCTCTGACTTACGGCCAATTCCCTTCTCTTCTCTGAGCCCCTGGTTCATCTTAAAACAAGGACAAGAACAGTTCCTACTTTATAAGACTGTATGCGGGGTCAACAAAACAATAGTGCAAAGAAAGGCTCCATTCTGTGACCAGAAGGCACTGATGAAATCTTGCTTGAACTATTTCGGCTGGGAGAACATATAGGCAGGTTTACAGCAGGATGGGATCAACCTGTCACTGGCAGAACTGCTCTGCAGAGCTTTGCTCAGCATTCCCTGTGACACTTCCCAATGAAAAGAATCTAAGTCTGATGTCTTCTCTTCAATGCTACATGTGGAAGCACTCCTAGCCAGGTGTGGGGGCACATGCTACAATACCAACACTTAGGAGGCAGAAGCAGAAGGAGAATGTGTTGGAGGCTAGCCTGGGGTATATAGTGAGAGTCTGTCTCAAAAAACCAAGGATGTAGGATGCAGCTCTGTGGCAGATTGCTTCCCTAGAATATGCAAGGCCCTAGGTTTGCGCCCCAGTACCACCGAGATAATAAAGAAATTTCCAAGGTATTATTACTAACCATTTATTTCCTTGAGTCTAACTTTCTGAATTTAGGACTGGATTTCCTTTTCATAAATAACTGCATCTTTGTTTTGTTTCTGTAGTGCTGGGGATCAAAGCCAGAGCTTTGTGAATTTTCAGCAAGTGGTTTACCACAGAGATACATGCACAGTGCAGTAACTGCTTTAAAAATGGATTCCCATTCTTATTGATACTATTAACACATCATTGATATATTTACAGTTCATTTTCCTGTTTGCATGTTTTTGAGAAAGTTACTGTATTTCCTGTGCTTTAATTTTTTTCTATAAAGGATCCTAAAGCAAACTTCCTCATAGCTTTAAGTAAGTTAGACACAGAGGTGCTCAGAAGTGGCCATTTTGCTGGGTATGGTGGTGCATTCCTGTAACCCCAGCAGGAAGTTCAGGAGTTCAAGGCCAGTTTGGCTATAGTGAATTTGAGGCCAGCCTGGGCTATAAGAAAACTCATCTGAAAACAACGAAAGTATTGTTTTTGTGGAAATCACTTATTAAGTATTACTTGTGGCTATTGTTATTATTTGCTGTGTTCCAAATTTTGGGGTACTCCCCAGTATCCAAAGGTTGAAACTTAATTTTCAATGGGACAGTGCTCAGAGAACAGGTGTCTTGTTTCCAGTTGCTATGATAAATACCCTTCACAAAAGCAAGGTAAACCCCAAATTAAGCTTTGACTGTTGACCCATGATGCCTGTTCACTGTCCAACAGTTCAGAAAGAAGAAAAAAAAAAAAAAAAGAGAAAGGGAAGGAAAAGCACAGCACTCTGAGCCACTAGCCATCTGTCTACACAGAGCTCTCTCCTTTCCCTATAGAGATGGCTTCACACTAACTTTCTTCTGCTGTCTACTCTGCATACATAGCTTTGGCAATATAGAAGCTTAGCTGGAGGGAGACACCAGGGTGAGGCTGTGACACTGCAAATGTTCTCAAGGCCAAGTTCATGGCCCTGGAAGAGCCCTACTTCCTCTCTAGGCAGAGCATGGGTGCTAGTAGGAGCTGTGTGCAAAGAGGGGCAGAGAGAGACTTCACTAACAGCATCAGCCTGTGGATGGAGGTACAGGTGAGAGCCACAGGCCCCAAAGTAAGGGCATGACAGGGATGGGTTAGGGGAAAGAAAGGACCTTCTAGAAAACACCAAAGTTCAGAGAGAGGTGTGTGCCTGATGGGGATTCCATCCCTAATCCATTAATTATGACCATTAGCTGTGGTCAGTGTTCCATGAGCATATCCGGAGGCAAGCTAAGCTGCCTTCTCATAGTGACACCTCAATATCCTGTTTGGTTTCTCTGCATTGTGACTTAAAAGAAAAGTGTGCTTACTTTTCAAAGGGGAAAAAAAAAAGACTCTGAGGATGTTTCCCAAAGTAAGTTTTCTCTGGAACTCTTCCTACTTTCCTTTTTTTTTTCTTAAACAGACTGTTCCAGTCTTTTATCTATTACATCTTCTGTCATTTACATATAACTAGCATTAAAGGCAGTCTTTCCAACACTTATGATACTTGAAACCCCTATATACAAATGGAAACCTTTCCTGATAAAATGAAGACCTATGAACCTGCCAAGGAAAGAGCTTACAGGAAGTCTACAAGGAGCACCAAGGGCTATTGTCTGAGAGTTAAATCATAAACCAACACAGAGTGTGGGGATTTAGCTCAGTGGTAAATCATAGGCCTAGAAACTATAAGGTCCTGGGTTCAGTTCCTAGCACTGGGTCATGATTCAGAGAAGTAGAGATATGTTGAAGACACAGGATAGGTCCTGGGCCACCAGGACCCCAGGGTAACTTTTTTGAGTATGCTGTTGAACAGAAAATGGACTTGAAAAAAAACAGAGGGCAAGTCAGGGTGGCAGGGCCCATCTGGACATGGCCCACGGAAGGAGTACTGTGGCCCACATGAAGGGAATTTTCATCCATGGCTGGGTCATTCATTCACATGACAACTATAAGCAGAGACTCTGGAGCCAAATGTCTCCATCTTAGCACCTTACTTGCTAACTCTGCAATGCTGTAAGCTATCTATCTCTCTGTGCCTCTTCCAGAAAATGAGGCTCATGATCAAGTAGTATTCTATGATATTCTATGCAAAGCACCTACACCATACCTAATACTGAGGAAGTGTATGTAGACACCTAATGTCTGTCACTGTCTCTGAGATGAATTTATCGGGTCATCACAGCCCAAGGCCACTAAGCATCTAGATCCTCCATCCATCCATCTGCCTCCCCCATCCTAGCTCCAGTCTTACCAACAACATTTTGATTAACTGGCTATCCTGTTCCAGTCACTAGGGGAGAAGATGGAGACCATGCTCTCAGAGTGCCCAGATACACACAATAGTTTTGACTTTGCTTGACACTGAGTATTTGGAAATTCTTGTGCACAGAGCAGTCTTCTAAAATGTGTTTACTAGATCTTCAGGGCTTGGAGATGATGAGGGCTCTATATGGTAAATGTCTCGGAAGACACCAGGTCATCCAGCCTAGCTGCACCCTGCTTTGCCATCACCTTGACCTTTGTCCAACAATGCTTCTCCAGGATAAGCATGCCTTACCTGTGACATGGAGCTTTTCATCAGTGACTTCAGCCTTCAGATAAATTCGCCCCCTCTTCTCTGTGTGATCCATTCCGCAGAGGCTGGGGACATTGATCACACACTGCTTGTGAACGTTCATGTCGCAGGCTGTGAATCAAGAAAGCAAAGGGTGAGGCTGGCCATATGGGCTGGCATCACTGCCTCCATGTTTTGGTGTCTGAGCAGAAGTGGGAATGAGTTTCCCCCTAACGTGGTACTTTGCTGTAATGTTTTTGGTGACATCAAGTACTGTTAGCAGATGTCCCTTCCCGCACAGGCTTCCTGTGAGTGACAATATCCTTAAAATATCCATCCCACATTTTCTCAGGCCTTATCAAAGCAAAGTATCCCAGTTTATTCTTCTGTGGCTGTTTCAAATATTTAACAAAATTGACACAGGTAAATGTGTAGAGAATTTAGGCTAACTACTTAATAGCTTGTGTACACACAGGCATATAATATGCAATTTTAAACAGAAGATGTTATTTTGCCAAAGAATTCCTTCTGCCTCCCTGAGCTCGCCACTGAGAGAGTGACAATCTGTGGGCTGAATATAGGAAATTCATAAAATTTAATTTTCTCCAACTAAGTCGGTGGTTCCAAGAAGGTGTAAGTATGTTGCCTTAAAAAAAAAAAAAGAAAAACCTTGTGTTTGATATTTTAAACCTGTCTTCAAATATTTAAATATTATTCCAAGTAAAACAAATACATGCCTGGCAGAAGCCATTCCTTACGGCTGACATTATGTAGGCGAGACAGGGAGGATAAAAAAGGATCAGTCTTACTGCAATGAACCAAAGAAACCTTGAAAAGAATCCTGAGGGCTGACTACAGACACGAGACTATGTGGGTGTTCCAGCTCCATCCTCCTGGTACCTTAGGCTTCCTGAGGAAGGAATGGCTGCTGGAATCCTCACACTCTCCCTGAGATGCTAACAAGGTTATCCTGCAATCTTCAAGGCAGAGCCTACCTAACCCTTTCATTGTCCATGTTTAATTTGAGCATGGTAATGTACATTTTTTTAAAGTCACAAATAAGACCTGCTTGCTGCAATTAAACACAGAAAGTGTGATAACAGACACAGTAAGAAAAAAACCATCAGTCACTCTACAAACGTGGATTCAGTGAGGGTTCTGTTTACACAGACTTGTCGTAGCCAATAGGAAGACTGTTGAAAAGTTGTACTTTCATGTAACTTGGGTTAACCAAGTCTTATCTTCAGATGCCTGGGCACAAGTTGAAATTTAAGGAACATAATGCCAGAACCTTGGAAAGAATACAGGTAAAAGGGTGTGTGTGTGTGTGTGTGTGTGTGTGTGTGTGTGTGTGTGTGTGTGAATATGCACTGGGTTGTGTTCAGGTCTTAGCTTACCAGAACTGACTTTTCTACCTTGGGAAGCTCCTTTGTTCCCTCTGATCATGTTTCTTACTCTACAAATTAAGAGGCCGGCTGACACAAGTGGCGGCTAGCTTTCCCTAAGTGGAACTGCACACAGACCACAGTCATACAACAGGCAAAGGTAAGTATGGGGAAGGTTGTCACGTGCGTGCACAAAAAAAACAAAAAAAAGCAATAGCTTGGGTCAATGGCTTTCAAAATGGTTTAGTGATAAAGACTGAGTTTTTTTTTTTCCCTCAAATAAAATCTAAAACAGAATCCTAATATGTAAACCAGATAAATGCCATTAGCAAAAATTTAGTTACTAAATTCAAATTTGTATCATTTATTTACTATTATGACATTCAAGTAAACAAAACCCTAAAACCAGCTATTAGGGATGCTAGTTACTATGTGCCCCCAAAGTTTGTATGCTAGAAACTTCACCCCTAAATTCATGATAATGACATTTGTAGGCAGGGCCTTTTAGAGGCAAATAGGACTATACGAGATTGTGAGGGGCTCCCATGGTGGCATTATAGTTTTATAAACAGAACAAAGATCTCAGCTAGCACCTTGGTCTATCTTTCCATTTGGGGCCTTTCACCATGTTTTAGTACAACAAGAAGCTAGTATCACATGTTTGTGGCCTGGTCTGAGACTTCCCAGGCTAAATAAATCTCTACTCTATAATAAAGTACCAGTCTTGGATTATTTTGTTACAGCAACAGAAAATGGACTAGAAACAATCTCAGACATTTCATGTATTTCTGTATCATGTTCAAATTATACAGTATCCACAATCCCTGCTTCATATAGAAGAGACTATGCAATTGGGAAAAATGTAGAAAGGAAGCCTCCCTACCGAACATGCTTCTCAGTGGAGTGGATATGACAGGAGAAACTTGATGCCAGACCCTTGAGTAGGGCCAGCAATGTAAACTTCCCAGGGTCTAACTGTGTCAAGGTTGGCATGTATGTAACACATTTGAGTGTTCATTTTTGTTCCAAATTAAACAATTATTTTATATTTATGTATTTATTTATTAAATTTATTTAGAGTGTGTATGTGTGTATGTGTTTACATGCACATGCCATGACATATATGTAGAAGTCAGGGGGCAAGCTGCAGGTATCAATTCTCATCAGGCTTGGCAGCAAGCACCTTTATCCACTGAGTCATCTACCCAACTCTATTCCAAGTTTTAAAATAGCTAAAAATACATTTACAAATGCACTAACAATTAGCATTTGCAGAAACCCTGAAAACCATGCATCAGACTCCAAGGGTTTCTTGAAGCACAGAGGCCAACGGTCTGGATACAAAGCTGCTAAACTACAACTGTATAAACTGAACAATCCCTTCTGAGAGCACCATGACTCTCTGTTGTTCATGCATCCTAACTCATTTATACTGTGTTTGCACTGTGTAGGATACAAATGCAGAGCTTTGGGGTCAGTACAGCACCACAATGAAGGAGAATATGCTGACATTTCCATAACATTTGCCTGTTGATTAAAAACACAGGCTTTGTACCTGCCTTTTCACGCCCCCAGAGCATGCATTTTTACTTAAGTAAATAGCCTAGGGAAACTCACACTTGGACAAAGTTTCTGCAGTTGTCTTTTTCCTGGTATTGGATGAGGATGTACACAGAACCAAAGAGAATGGAAGAGACCTCCTGTCTTCCCTGCCAGTGAATCTCACTGATGCCCTCTAGACTGGACTACTGTCAATGTGATGGGTTTATCAGCGGGCAGGGTGAGTAAGCTCCAGCAAGATGCTCTTCTGGGTTTTATGCTCACTTTGGCTTCTGTTTTAAGGAGAAGTCTGATGGATTTTTCCACAGTCCACCCACTAATTAGAAGCACAGGAAGATAATGACTATACTTTCTTAGCTTATTTTGAAGCCAACCAAATGTGGAATCTGGAGGTGGGGAGTTTTCTTTTGGGTTTGACTAGCCTGCATTTTACAAGGATTGAAGATTTCTGCCACATACACATAAAAATGAAGTGGCAGCACCCACTAGCTTCATTTATAAACCAAGTGGCCTTTTTCTGGCTCATAATTAGGCAAGTAAGTAGTTTAATAAACCAGAATTTGGACAAGGGAGTAATTCTACAGTTTTAAACCAAGTCTGAACAAGTTCTCTCTGTTGGTGAATTGGTAGTGAGAAATTACCAAACCCTCTGCACTGAGCACGGACATGAGCTGCAGAGCCTGGCCATCTACTGGAAAAGAAAACTTACTGTCACATTTCATCCCTTGGTGGATAAGTCCATACAGCAATGACCCACAGTGATCGCAGAAAGTGGGGCTCCCATACGTGTGGATTTTGAACTTGTGCTTGCTCCTGGGGTCCTGGAGGGAGAAGAAGAACGTTCATTCCAGATGTGAAAGGGCTTGGAATTTTTGGTTAAGTCAAGCTTACATCCTATCTTCATCATCCAGGCTGGGTAGTACTAGACTGTGTACTATTTCCTAGAGTCACATGATAGCGTGTGTATCTGTGACTTTTGGCCATATCACATTTAATGTAACAAATACTTGTGTTTCCTCCCTTTACAGAGTGTAATTTGAACAAACCAATTACAAGGTTCCATGAAAACTGTCACTGAAGTCATCCAAGTCCAGGAAAGCACACTTAGTATTTTAAACGATTCACGTGTCTGTCTCCCAGCACCTCGCTGTAGCAGAGAGCAGTCACTGGATATGGTGTGACTGTGAAGCTAACCTGAATGAGCTGGGATCTGGAACCTTCAGGAAATCTTCTGCACACATTTTCCAGATGCCCAATAGGCTGTGAGATTAGATAAACCCTGAAACTGCTGGGGCCTCTTGATTCTGCATTGTCTCTACAGTAGCCTGTGTATGTGCACGGGGAAACGGCAGTGGGCTAGATGAAAACCGGACACCCACAGAGGCAGCCCTTCCCGAGCGTGGTTCATTACTTCCTCTAGCAGACCACACATAGTGCAAAGTTGTAACTAGATGTCTGTTTTTCTAGGTGCCAGTTCCTCAGTTCACAACAGATTACAGACAGGGAAACCCAATTTATGTGCAGCATGCTGTAGCAGGCCAAGAGCCTGGATTCTGGAGTCTCTGCCTGAGCTTTGACTCCAGACAAATGGTTTTTCTTTCCTGCCTCAGCTTCAAGCTGGGCAGTGAGTCCTACTATCTTATGTGGTTGTCATAAGGACAAAGCAAACTGATCTTTGAGAAAAGTGCTCAGAAGGCTGCCCTATTAGAAGGGCTGTCTATGCAGGATGGGTGTGCTGTGGACAAAGCAGGTAGGCTCTCTAGCTTCCTTTTTTTTAACCAATGTGTAGCCCTGGCTAGTTTTGTATTTTCAATCCTCCTGTCTCAGTATCTCCTCAACTCCCAAATGCTGGGATTAAAGATGTATCACCACACTCAGGCCCTAGCTTTGTAGGCTTCTGTTTACTAGTATGCAAAAGGAGAAGGTTAAGCCAAAGGATCTTTATATACTATTTGAACTACAAAATAATTTACATTCAACATGTACATACCAGGACCCATCATGAAATAAATGCTTCCTCTCCAATAATGCTCTGTGGCCTGAACGGTGGTAAGGATAACTGGCTCAACTAAGTTAGGGGAGACCACAGAGGAACAAGGTTGGGAGGAACAGAAGACCAGAGCTCCACACAGACACATTAAGCCTGAACTCTCCTGTAGACAAGAGCTGCTAAAGTGCAAAGAGACACAAAGAAAGATGCTCTTGGCTTTGACTTTCTAAGAGCCTGGGTGCCAAAGGCTGAAGAGTATTCCAAAAGTAATTCCTTAACTTTGTGAGACAATTTACATTTTGGTTTGCATTGGAGCCTAGAACATGAGGTACATATATCCCCAATGACTGATTATGACTACTTTTTAAAGCGATAATTTAGAAAATTCTAGAATACTTAACTTGTCCAGAAAGCTTTAAAGAACAGCAAACCAAGCACTCAGATGCATTGCCCGGATGTGGGAAAGGGGAGTACATCTCCTTCTCCTTGCAATTATTTCCCTCCCAAAGTCACATGGCAGGCTCATTCTGTCAGAGCTGCCATCTGACCACCAGATTCCCACTGTGTGAGTTTTCAGAGATCTACCCAGTGTAGGTTCTTTCCTCCTTCCCTAGCCCCCCCCTTACTTTTTCTCTCCCTCTTTTCCTCCCTCTCTTGTTCCTTTTTTTTTTGTCTTTTTTAAGGCAGGGTCTCTCTGTAGCCCCAGCTTTCCTGGAACTCACTATGTAGACCAGGCTGGCCTTGAACTCACAGAGATCCACCTGTCTCTGCCTCCCGAGTGCTGGGATTAAAGGCGTGTGCCACCACGCCCTGCTTGTTCCTTGTTTTTTTTTGTGGACACAGGGTCTCACTATGTAGCTCAGGCTGGCCTCAAACTCAAGACTGTCTTGCTAGCCTCCTCGGTCCTGTGATTACAGGTGCATGCCACCATTTTCTGGTCTGTTTTAATAGGCCCCAAGGGATTATCCAAAGGTTGGCAGGTACACTAACGACTGAGAAGTACTGTTTTAGAAGGCCACTTCACAGACATGCAGCAGGGCCTCACAGTAGATGCTGAAAACGTGTGTCGATGATTAGCAATATTTATTATTTATTTATTTATTATTTATTTATTGTGTGTGCGTGTATGTGTGCACACGCATGCCACATTGCACAGATGGAGGTCAGAGGGCAACTTGTGGCAATTGGTTCTCTCCTTCTACCATGGGGGTTTCAGGGATCAAGCTCAGGTTATCAGGCATGGCGATTAAGTACCTTTATCTGCTGAATCATCTTGCCAGTCCATTATTAGCAATATTCTTGAAGCAGGCCACTAGCTGGCCTTCTAAATGCCTCTCTCATGGTATAAAATATAACATTCTCCCTGAGGAATTATTTTCCCTAGCAAGTATCAGCTATGAGGATGGAATGACGTGCAGCCTCTGACATCCAACATTAAAGCGGACAATCAGTTTCTTTAGAATCCAAGACATGAGACAGAATGCTGAAGGATCAGGCTAGCATCAGCACCAATTAACTGTACCTGTGTTGACAGTGAAGACTGTGTCATGTCCTACAATGTGGAGGACAAAGAAGATGCTGGGGGGAAGGAAACAAGCAGCCAGCTTCCCTACAGAAACAAGGCATCAACAACTGACAATCAATCAGGAATGGCAGCACACTCTGAGCCCTCTGGAGTACGTGTGGGGCTGCCAGCCCTGGGATGGTTGTCCAACCAACTGACTGTCACACAGATCTCTGTTGATTTGGCATATGGGTAACAAGGCTCACTTCCAGGAAGACCTAACTTCCTTGCTCATCTGTCATCCATATGGCATCTGCAGACTCTAACTGTGTTGGGAGGTGGAGGAAGAGCGGAAGTCATTGCTGCCACCTCTTATGTATGCCTGGAGAGCCACCAAGTCCTAGAGTCCTTCAGTACCCAAAGTACATGTGTGGCTGTGGATCCCGCTTATGAATCATGATGACAATATTAATATCACCATCTGCCTGGTGACCATCATTAAGTGTGTGCAGACGCTTTATGACAGGATCTCTGTTGAGAACGAGAGGCTCTTATCCAAAAAGATCTACCAGGACTTCTGGGACCTGTATTCTGACCCTAGCCCTCCTACAGCCTTGTGACCCTGAAGCAATAACAGCATGTCATTTATTTATAAAGCAGAAATAAAGCCAGTGTGGCCATGTTAGCACTGGCAGTGTATGAGAAAGGTTCACAACCTAACAACAGCTGGACATATTTAAGACGTGTTATTATATTAGTCGTGGAAGTAAACGTCACAATACCCCAGGTTTCTCTAAAATACTTCGGAAGCTTAGGGTGCAGTAGAAGCAACAAGAAAGCTGGGTGATGCCCCGTCCTCACTGGTGCTCAGAATGGAGGTGAAGCAGGGAAGTGCTTCTTCAGTCCTGCTCTCCGCACTCTGCGCCTGGCCCCCTCAGGAAGTCACTTGTCAATCACCCCAAGTGGTGACTATGGAACTGCTTGGTGCCCAGACAACCCCATGCATGGTCCTGACTGTCAAGGTCAAGATGATTCCATTGCGTATACCACAGAAGCAGAAGGCAGGAACGTGGACATTCATCCAGTGTGATCAATCTCACCCAGCCTGACAGGAGAGGCTACTGCCTTACCTAAGGAGTTGGGACTCACAATGATTTCAGAAAGCCACCAGAGCTCAAAGTCTCCCGGGCTGTGTTTCTGCCATAGTCACTGAAGAGCAATGCATTTGACCTCTCTGGGCTTCAGTTTCCTCCTCTAGATCCTGGAGCCATGAGGGTGGGAATAGTTTTTTTTTTTTTTTTTTCAGTGGGCGTGGGGGGTGGGCAGAATCTTCCTGTAGCCTCAGTTGGCCTGGAACTTGCTATGTAGACCAGGCTGGCCGTGATCTCACAGAGATATGCCTGCCCCTGCATTCCAAGTGCTGGGACTAAAAGGTGTGTGCCATCACATCCAGCTGGAAACAGCGTTTTAAAATGAATCTTCAAAGGGCACTTCAAAGGCTGTCAGGCAGTACTGCTCTGGGTAGCGATGGAAGAAGACAAAGGAGGGACACTGATGCTGAAATTAAAATTGGAAACAACTGCACTGGATGGGCCGGCTCTTCAATTCTGTCTTGTTACTTAAAACAAAACAAAACAAAACAAAACAAAACAAAACAAAAAACCAACCAAATCTTTTTATTTTGAAATCATTAAAGACTCACAAGAATTTGCAAAACTAGTACAGCCTGTTCCTGGACACTCTTCACCCAGCTTTCCCCAGTGAGAACATCTTACATAACCACAGCATGTTAGCAGTGTGGGGATCCGCTGCCACCCTTTCATCAGTCAAACACAGGCTTTGTGGGCTCTCTAGATTCTCCAACACGAGGACGTTCACTGTACAACTTATGAATTAAATATACTGTGTGCTGGGTAGGAACACTGTCCTGTTTGCTGGGTAAATAGCAGGAACTCCTGTAGAACAGCTGCTTCTTGGTCACGAAATCTGTAACTGCTAGATCTCATATTAAGCGGTAAGGATGATGATTCCAAAGATCCACCCAAAAAGTAGGATCAGAAAGTTCCTTTCTAAGTAAAGGAAACCCACTGTTTCTAAACCTTTCTGACCAGTTTTTTAGAACAAAGTCATTTCAAAACCCAGGCTGATGGGCTCATCCGGGTGTGCAGCCAGCCTGGGGTCAAGGAAGAGTGAAAGGTGTGATGGCTTTGAGTTTCCAGGTGGTGCTAGGAGCTGGAGGTTTAAAAGATGGGGCAGGGATTCCCAGGAGGCTATGTGGCTAGGGAAGTGTGTGGAGAGACACTGGCCATGGAGGGAGCTGAAGCCTG